TTAGACTATATAACATTGTTCGGAGCTGAGTGGGGGAGCTCTCCTGCCCGTCTCGTTTCACGAGCAAGGGAGAGTTCCAGGTTCGAACCTGTAATAAAGATCCTTGCTGCTTAGCTTTGACTCTGGACTCTGGTGGTCTTCTTCGGGGAATAAACGGTCTGGGCATAACAATAAAATAATATATGAAGAGGTATAAATAATATTAACAATCCTGTAGAAACACAGAGATAAAGAAAATCAATGAATGAGATGTTAGGAAAAAAATCACAGTAAGACAAAGGACCCAAGTTAAAAATGGAGGAATTATATTTTGAAAGATAGAGGGGCGTTGAGGGGACATTTCAGAAACAGCACCGACAGCAAAGGCACAAAAGTAGTTACTGTTTATGGGATAGTGAAAAAACAACCAATGAGGGAACAGAACACACGCTGGAAAGAGAGAAATAAGATCTGATAGGCAAATGCCAACAAAATGCAGAGGGCCTTGAAAATTAATGGATAGTGAGTGAAACCCTTAAGTAGAATAGTGTTATAATTACGGTGATGAGTTTAAGGAAAAGAAATATTCACTAAGCTGGTGAAGGTGCAGTTCCATAATACTGATGAAAGGGCATGAATGGAGAAATAGAACCCAGGGCAGTGAACGAAGAGTTCGTTGTTGAAGCTGTGAGTATCAGCTAGCTCTCCACAGAGGGTGTGTTGAGGAAGGAGGGAGCAAGGACTAAACTGTGGAAATCAAGCAGAGTAAGTGAAGAGGAATAAAAATAAAAGGAAGAAATATGTGTAGAGTACTCAGCTGTTTTGTTTATGCTGCTATATAACGAACTTTCACAACACTTCATCCTGGAAAACCACAGCCATCTTATTTCTCACCATTCTGTGGGCTGACTGGTGCTCAGCTCTGTGGTTTCTTTGCTGATCTTGCTTGGGGTCTCTAATGAAGCTGCAGGTAGCTGGTAGATGGGGTTCACATACCTGAGACCTTGGTGGAAATGGCTGAAAGGCCACGCTGGCTGGAACACTGGGACAGCTATCAGGATGGCATGGCCTCTTCTCTTGCTCCTTGTGAGTACTGTAGAGATAATTTCTCCATCATCTCTACAGATGTTCTCTCCAGCAGGGTAGACAGACTTCCTACATGGCAGCTCAGGGTGCCTAAATGCACAAAAGCCAATGCTTCTAGGCCTTCTTAAGGTTTAGGCCTAGACCTGGCACAGTGTTAACTCGGCAGTATTCACCTATCGAATTTTATTTCTTTCATTTTCCAGCATGCTTGCTCTTGAGTTGGTCTTCTTAGTATCCCAGAAGCATGTCCAAAATTATCCTGTGGCTTTTACTGATGGTCTTTGCCTTTTCTAAAATGTTTTTCTTTTTTACTCCCACCCATCTTTTCAAATATTAATTGTGTCAAAGTGCATCACAGGGGCCATTCATATTCAATATGGGAGAAGGCTATTCAAGGGTGTCAGTTTTAGGAGGCATCTTTCCAAGTGGCCAGCTTTGAAGTCTCACTGCCACACCAGCACATAGGATATTTTCAGTAACTATTACTCATCAATGCGTCACGGAAACATGTGAGGAATGAATTATTATATCTTTTGACAAATGAAGAAACTGAGGCTGATAAATGTAACATTTGGATACTACTAACCAGTAGTAGCAGGTGGTTTTGTCAACCTCTGAAATGCTATTGTACATTATGCTAATTTGTAAGAATAAAATAATACCAATTTTGATAGAGATAAGGTAAAGGCTAGGAGTGAGTGTATGATATGTTTCCATACTAAACTCTTAGTTTAAAGCAAGATAGTGACAAGAATAATAATCTAGGAGAAAATATGCTATAAAGGTGCGTGAGATTCCTTAAAATGAAAAAGTCCCTTCAAAGACACCATTTTCTGTTGAGCCTTTGGGCAAGACACTTAGTTTTCACTTTACAAATGATAGTCACAGACCATGAACACCTTTTTAAATGCTATTTTTCAAGGCTGAGAGCAAGCGTTCCAATTATAAAAGAATTGATCTTGTTAAACTTATTCTTAAATTTTTTATTTCCCTCCTTGGTTAATTCACTTTCCCTTCAAATGCATGAATCATCAAGACATAAACATTCAGCCACAATAGAAGAGGATGTTACATTATTTGGATGTACCTGATAGAATTCAGACAGAACAGATTGAGCAGGGTCAAATGAAATCCTCTTAACAGCATACTTACAGCAACCAGTATGGTTACTGTTTTCTTGTCTTTATAAGACTTTACAAAAGATTTGTTATAATAAAAGAATGCACATCTCTCTTTGGTTATTCTATCCCAAATGGTAGCAAATGTTAAGAGATGGAAAGCTATCATTTATCTGTGCTTAACACAGAGCAAGATTTGTGTTGGAAAATTGCTCTCCACCTCAAGCAGTTTTTATAACAATTCTGCTAGAAGATATAGCATTATTCCATTTTTACTGATGGAAAATAAAGCTCAGAGAAGTTAAGTGCCTTGTGCAAGTTTAAACAGTAAACAGCTGATCTCTCAAAGGAAATTACAAATTTGAATGCATAGCTAACTTCGAAGTCCTTCCTTGTTGACTACCTCTGAAGCTTTGAGTTTCATAATCATTTGTTACCATAGTCAAGAAACTGAACATAACATAAAATTAACATAACAATACCATAAAATCCAATATGTAGCAAGAATCAGAAAGATTAGAATTTGTAAGCTTTGGAGGTGTAGGTTTCTGAGGGTAGATGAAAGAGAGTATGAGAGGCACTTGTTCTTGTTTTTCAGAGAAGGAAATAGGAACAAACCAGACCCCAGAGACCCTCCCTTTTATCAGGACTTTGCTCATGAAATATTTTGGAATTGTCCTCTCCCTTACCCCCTACCACTTTAACCCAGAAATTTCTGACTGCACATTTGCCAAAGGGGTTTTACTATGGTAACCTTCAGGCCTACACAAAGAACACAGTCAAAACAAATAGCTCTCTTTAAATGTCATTATGGGGAGTAAAATTCTATGTGCTGCATTAATGGGCCTCCCACAGCTAAAACCTAGCATACCACTTTGAAAAATGTCCCCTGTGGGTATCGCTTAAACTAACAAAAGTGAGGGAATTTCAGAGTTAAGAGAAAACCCGATCCAGCTCTGGTGAAAATTAATAGAACACAGAAGAGTATGAATAAAGAAGTGAGAAATCAGGGAAACAAATTAAATTTGCTTTGTTTTCATCCTCTTTAATGTTATTTTAATATGAAAGGCCTAAAGAGAAGGCTAGCTTTTTTTAACATGCAATTTCCTTATTTTTGAATTTAATAAATCTTTAATGGAAGTACAAATCCTGCCTTTGGCTTAAGAAATATAAAAAGAAGAGAGATATGTATTTTTCTTAACCATCAGACAATATTCATAAAAGATCAGAGCAATGCCCTAAGTAAATAATAAACCTACATTATTTACCCAGCGTGCACTGCTTACCTGATAAATATGTTGGTTGCTCATTTTTAAAGAACTTATTAAGGAATATGCAAATTTCAAAAGCCTATTAAGGAATTAGTTGGCATACCTAATAGATCTCTAGAGAAAATTTGACTCTTGATGTAAGTATATCTTGAGGATAGGACTGATGTATGGTTGGAAATCTTCATAAAATTATTTTAAAGCTTTCACTAGTTCCTTACTAAACCTCTACTTATTTGCTTATTGTATCTTTTTCAAGGCAAAGGAATTGGTTCTTGTTTTTCTTCCCCTGCCTGGAGCCTGAGGCAGCTCGTTTCAATTTATGCTCTGGCTCCCCAGGATAGCTGAGAAACTTCACTGTCCATATCCTACAGGGAGAAAAAGTGACATTGAGCATAATCAACACTGTCTCTAACCAGGATGCTTATGATATGGTAGTCTTTATGTTAGCTCTGCTTTGTTCCCACTCGTCTCTCCTTTCTTCCATACATATCCTCATAACTCTACTTGGAAATGGCCTTCGCAAAACCAAATTAACGCAGTAAAAAGCTTAACCATGTAGTGCCCAACACAATAAGATCTGGAAGGTCTGTCGTTATTTGATGCTGAGGATGTATTTCCAAGTCCTGTGCCTCATCAGCAAGTAAAAATGTGACTCTGACTTCTTAAAAGATAGTCTGTGACTTATTTTCTGGAACTTAATAAAGAGTCACTCATCTGTTTGTGAGTGAGAGCTGTCTGAGAAAACAGAATTGACTACCGTATTATCTTTGAATTGTCTCATAGCTTCAGCTCTGGAGAGAGAACAGTGGGGTTGATGTAGAAATCATGCCTAAATGCTCCCTAGCATGAATGACCACATGTTCCAGCATGCTATGCCAAGGGTAAGCGCCTATTAATTATTCCTTTGTAAACGTTTTGCTATTAATTAAAAGAGGAAACAGATTCAGAAATAAAGCCAGCTTCCATGGGTTCACGGTACTCTTTTATAATAGTAAGAATCCGGGTTAAGTTGATCTCTCACTGAAATAAGCCTTAACGTGTTGGCATGTGTTTAGCAGAGACAGCAGCAGAATAATGTCTGGGCCTTAACTCTTTCGTATGCTTAAGGTGATTTTGATTATTTCATCAGAACTTTTTCACTCAAATTGAATGATCATACATATAGAATTTGTTGCTAAATTTTAATTATATAATATCTACTTATTTAATAAATGCTTATTGTGCCACTACCTTGTGCTAGGTTAGGACCAGGGAATAAGCTGATAGACAAAATTCTTTGTTCTTAAGGATCTTATATTCTAGCAGTGGTTAAAAATAATAAAACCAGAGCAGAGAGAGAGGGAGATAGAGAGTAAAATAGAGAAAATGGTTGAAAATCACATTCTGGAGGTGGCCAGTGACAGTTCGGCATAGAATAGTTTGGAAATATATTTTAATGTATACATGAAACTAATTCGAAGCAGAAAAGTCATAAAATCCAATTTACCTTTGAAAAGATTTACTCTGATGACTGTGTAAAAAATAAGAGGAGCAAGAATCAAATTAAGATCATAGAGGAGTTTATTGCAATAGTCTTAGCAAGCAATGTTGAGTTTTTGAACCAACATGTTAGTGTAAAAATTCTTCACAAATTGTTGAATTTAGGGGTTTTTTGTATTAACAGTGTTTGCACATCAATTAGATATGGAGTAGGTAGGAAAGGAAAACAATCAATCTTGGCCTTATCAAAAAGGGGGATTGCCAGTGCCTAGATACAGGTAAGCATTGACACTCATGAGGTTTAGGCCTCAGGACTCCTCCCTTTTACAGACTCTTTCCAAGACTCTTGTCTGACCCTAAAAGTGCATTCATGTTGTTACATATTTTTTATACCTTCCAAAACTAAACTGATGGGTTCAGACTACCGTCTCTTTACCCTGGGTCACATCACCCCTAAGGTCAAATGGCATTGCAGTAGTTGTAGACATTTCTGGATCCAGCTAACAGGAAGTTGCGCTGGGGATTGCGGTAAATTGTTAAACATGATTCCTGATAAATCACTCCTTTTTTTGTCCAGATCCCTTTGCAATGTAACTCTACTGCTCCCTCCGTCAAGAAGTAGGGTCTATTTCTGCACCCCTTGAACCAGTCTGGTCTTGTGACTTGCTTTCATCAATAGAATGTTGCAGAAGTGAAGCCTTAAAGCCCTGTTTGGAGAAAACATATACTTCTACTTTGAGTATTGGAATCCAGTCTCCACAAAAAGAGGTCCAGGCTAGCCTGGGGAGACAGAGAATGTGTGGAGAAAACGATCATAGTGAACGGACTACCATATGGAGAGTGAAGTCACATGGAAGAGAACCACATTGCCCCAGTTTGACAGTAACAGCAAAGCCCCGTTTATTGAGAATGAAGCAATCTCTTAGCCCTAATCAAGTCACCTCAGCTGACATCACATGGAGTAGAGACAAGTCATCCCCACTGAGCCACAAATATCCAACCAACAAAACTATAAGCAATAAAATGTCTACTGTTTTAATAATGTGGGACTTTTTTTTCTTGCATAGCTGTAGATAACTTGTATAGGATAATTTAGTTTGATTTCAGTAGAGTGTATTAATGTAGTCTGTAGTCTCTTTAATATATGGTTAGGTTGTTGCTTTCTCTCCATGTGTGGGACTGGGCTACAGGAATAGTCATGCCTCCCATTGTGCTGACTGTCCTGGCATCATGACACCAACGTACAGGGCCAGAGATGCTACAACAAAATGAATCTGTCCTATGATGACTGGCACCCAAAGTATGTGAGCATTGGATGAAAAACAATACAGAAATGTACAGGGCCAGAAAAACTATGAGGAAAATTCTTCCCAGAATTAGCTGTGTAAAATTCTAAGTGAAGGATAGGTTCTTATCAATAATTGATCAAAATGGAAGTTATTAAAAAATACAAACTATCCATTTGCCATGTAATTTGTATGAGACTTACACACAATGAAATTTACCAGAAATGTATGCTTCTTGGGCACAAACCTATATCAAAAGAACATAAAGTAAGTATATTTGAGAAGGATCATGCTCAACAAACACTTCACAGATATTTTTTCTATGAGACCCACAGCTTCTAAATATGACAACAATTTTGAAAATTTTTATGACATCGTCAATGACTACTCTGAAGCTAAAGTAAACTTTCTAAACTGTCAGGTATTTAAATTTTATTTTAGTTTATTTTTATGGTTAATTTTTTAAAGAAAGGATTATGCTAGAGACAAGAATGAATATCATTTTATTGTTTCTATAGAAAATATTATAAATTGTGTAATATGGAGAAATGACCATAAATGTGTGTCCAAAAGTAGGAAAAAAAATTGTACAGACATGGTTGAAGCACTTGATTCTTTCAAATATTATGTTATTTTCTGATTTTGCAGTTCTTCACCTTTTAAAATTTTGTAATTTATTATTGTGATGTCTCATTTTAAAGAAATAGTTAGGCCAGCCATGGTGGCTCACACCTGTAATCTCAGCACTTTGGGAGGCCGAGGCAGGTGGATCACCTGAGGTCGAGAGTTCGAGACCAGGCTGGCCAACATGACAAAACCCCATCTCTACTAAAAACACACACAAAAAAATTAGACAGGCATGGTGGTGGGCACCTTGAATCCCAGCTACTTGGGAGGCTGAGGCAGGAGAATTGCTTGAACCAGGAGGTGGAGGTTGCAGTGAGCTGAGGTCTCCCCACTGCACTCCAGCCTGGGTGACAAAGAGAGACTGTCTCAAAAAAAAAAAGGAAAAAAAAAAAAGAAAAAGAAAAAAGAAATAGTTTTGTGGCAACCTAATTTTGAATTTATATCTTTTAATTATTTTTCCTAACAAAAGCTGTCTAAATGGTATAAATTTCAAGCCTCAAAAAGTCAGGCTATAACCTTGGTGGTGCCATTTACCATAATTAGAACACTGAATTTAATATTGAAGGTATAAAAAGGCTTTGGAAATTGTAATTTGCTACCTAAGCATGAAGTCTTGCCATCTTTATGTTTCCTTTCCAAAAAGCACTGAATGCATCCCCAGTGTCTAATTGTGTAAAACAGCTGAGACGTCACTGCTTTCCAATCTCTTCAAGGACAAGTGCTCATCTCGGCTCATCTTGGACCCCACTTTAGAACCCAGGGGAACCGGTAAGTGTTCTAGGCTACACAATAGAAACGGAAATAGACAAACAGGGCTGAGGATATCTTGGGACACAGCAGCCATCAACATTTTAGGATGACCGACAAGCAATAGTCAAGGAGCTCCCACTGGGCAACTTTCTCAGCTCTAAAGAGAAGAGCCAGAGCATATCCCCAGCCCTGCTGTGACATGGTGCTCACCTGGTGGTCAGTAGGTGGTCTGAGGCATTGGCTCCATTCCCTCATTGTTTTTTGCTTCTAGCAGTAATAGTTGCTACACAGCCTGTCAATTAAGACATTGCTCCCCTACACCTCTAATTATTATTTCTTTTTCTCTTTTTTCTTTTCTTTTCTTTTCTTTTTTTTTTTTTTTGAGACAAAATCTGGTTCTGTCACTCAGGCTGGAGTGCAGTGGTGGGATCTCAGCTCACTGCAACCTCCGTCTCCCGGGTTCAAGTGATTCTCCTGTCTCAGCCTCCTAGTAGCTGTGACTACAGGAGCTCACTACCACGCCAGCTAATTTTCGTATTTTTAGTGGAGACGGGGTTTTGCCATGTTGGCCAGGCTTGTCTTGAATTCCTGGCCTCAAGTGATCCATCCACCTCAGCCTCCCAAAGTGCTGGGATTACAGGCGTGAGCCACCACGCCCAGCCACCTCCAATTATTTCTGATGAATGCTTCAAGATCCTCTTTGGAAGCTTGAAAACAAAAGAAAAAAAAAAAAACCAACCACCAGCCAACCAATGACAAAAACTTGCTCTTTGTTTTCTTGCTAATTTATAATTCTCCTGGAGCCAATGTGAAAAGAGAAAAGTCATGTATAAAAGTAAGCACAAATAATAACATAACAAATACTCACATGTACCCCACAAATATATAAAATGTTAGGTATCAATAAAATAAAATAATCAGTATTCAAAGCTATTTCAGAGTCAGAAATGCATCTCACCAATTATATATATCTATAAACATCACAAATAATAGGATAATTGGGCATGTCCAGGATCATATTAGAGAAGCAATGTGCTCCCAGCTTTGAAAGATCAAATTCTTCACCCACTTGCAGATGATATAATTTTAACATCCAATTCCCCTGTCTCCGTTGTTCAGCTTCTCCAGGACTGTGAACAGATTTCCTCAGTTTTTGGTTTCAGTATTCCTCCACTGGGATATCTGTCTCGGTTTATAAACATATTCAGATCTCTTCAATAATTTAAAAAAGAATACTTCCCTGAATCCCTGTTCAATATTAACTAACTGAAACCTACAGGGTAATGAATCTGTTTTTAAAAAAAGAAAGATAAAGAAAATATCTGAGTTTTCTGTAATATTATACGGACTTGAAAGGCAAAGAGTTAGATGACATTTTCACATAATGTGTATATTGTTAGATTAAGTATGATTTATGTGTTTAAAATTAAACCATTTCTTAAGTTTTATACGCAATATTAGAAGTGTTTCCTACTTTATGGCATAAATCTGGATATCCATATGTAAGTTGACAGCATTTGAGGCTTCTTTTTATAATAACTGGTAAGATTTTGCCCATCTGAACTATGTAGTTGGTCATTTCTTTGAAGCATTTACCTATTGTCTGAAAGCAACTAAAAATGTAGGTTTGTTTAGGATATGAAAACTAAGTTACCCTGTGGCCCCAAAACCACATTAGATACTGATTAATTACTTATATTCAACTGAAACATTGACTTACACTAAAAACCTTAGGTCCTATATGTCCTATGCCTAACCTACTCAGTACAATGTGACACAAATTCAACTTGATTTCCTATACTTCTTATGCCAAAATAAAGCTATTTCTTTATTAAAACTAAACAAATGAATGCTATTAAGGTGGCAGCTTCATATTCTCGTAAGGTTTTGCTGCTCAAACTAATCTTTAAAGGTTTTACCAGTGATACTATATAAGTGGGTTTGCATCCACATGTGTAATGCCTGTATTTCTACCAAATCACTTACAATGTCCAGATGGACATATTTGTCTAAGTTAGCCAAACTGTGGCAATGCCTTTTATATGCCAGATAAAATCTGTTAAAATTTGTATCTTTTCCTATGGGCTTGGGTTTTTAATTTTAAAACAAAGATTTTAAAATACTGAAACCTACAAGATGGATTTTAAGTTATTAAAATTATCAATAATAATAATATAATCATGCTAATACACATTATTTATTACAATCTGGGGATAATTTAAGAGAAAAAAACCAATATCTCCTTTCTCAGTGAACATCAAATAAGAGGGTGGTTGTGATAGTTACAATTTTGTCTTCATTTATCTTTATAGAATAAACTTTTGGAGAATGAGCTATCATTAGGAAAACTTTCACTTTATATTTTTGTCAGTTTCCATATTTTGCTATAAAGTACCAGAAACTTGAAACTTTCAAATAAATTTCAATTTCTGAAAATATCAACACATTAATTATGACTTTTCAGGTCAGCTTTCTGGTTCTAAGTCTTTTTTTTCATTGGTATAGTCCAGTTTCTTTTTCTTAGTTATGCAGGAATTATAATATGGGTCTTCTGTCAGAGCTCTACAGCTCCTAAAGCAAGGTATCACATATCTCCAAGACTGCCGAACAATGGAAGCAAAAAAATAAAAAATGAAAAAATAAAAAACCATGAATTTTGCAGGCATTTATAAGAATATTTATTAAAGAACATATAGTACACAGAAATAGTGTGGAAGTCCAATATTTTATTGAGTTCTCTTTTCCATGATGTGACTTTTTTTTTCTATTCAGACTTATGAAAGTATAACTGCATTACAGCAGCCTTGGTTTCAGCAATATTCCATAGCTTAACAGTCTATCCTTCAGTAACTCATTGTGATGAAAAGGTCACTTGAATCTGCCAATATAGTTTATCTCTGCTTCAGCTTACATTAAGAGAAATATGTCTCAGAATAAGCCTAAACCCATATAATAGATACTTCTGTACCTATAGGCAAGATATCTAGGAGGAGGACATGTGATCAAGTAGAAAGTACACCCCTATCAATGAATTGTACACAATTATCACACGTAGATCTACATAGCCTACCTTTTATGACATACTCACTTTATCACCACAGTTCTGTAGTTCTTTAAGCAATGTTGAAAGCATTCTGTTCTTATTTTTGTTTTTTTCTGTTTTGTTAGAAAACATGTCTTTCTTTCATGTCCTTGACAAAATTTCAAAGTGTTTAAATATATGCACATTCACACCATCTTCTAGATTTGTTAGATTTTCAAAACACATGAAGATGAGACTAGATTCCAAACTTTGGTCAGATAAGCAAGAGAAACTAAGGCAAAAGTAAAGGAACAGAAACCTCGTTCAAATCCCAACACCTCTACCAGCTCCTCCAAGCTTACATTAAACCTCCAGAAAGGTGTGTAGGGTGGTAAACATACTTCTAAAAAAAATCTTAATGCTCAAGAAAAGCTGATACACAATAACTGCTATCATAGTTCCACTCAGAGAATCTTCTGTCTTTATTTAAAGCATGCTATTTCCTTCTTTCGGAGTTCAGAAGCAATAATAAAGAAAAAGTAAAATGTTTTCCCCCTTATTTAATTACAATCAAATTAGGTTATTGCTTTTCCTATGAACCAAGAATCAAGATATTGGAATGAAAATTAAAACTAATTTGACAAAAGAGACTACACAAAATCACTTTGTTAATTTAAAAAAAAATTAAATTCACACCTCAGTCACAGAAATCTACTGGGAAATGTTCATCTCGCTTAATTAGTCTTGGTAAAATCTAAATATCATCAGCTTATTTTGTGAATGTAGTCAGCTGATACTCAGATTGGAAGCTTAGGAGAAACTGCTACATTGTCCAGTACAAACATGTCATTCACTGAGCTGGACCCAAACTTCCCGCTGTGTCCTTCCCCCAGTTCAAAATCCCCCTAGAGTTTCCAAAAAACAGTGTTAATAAGATAGGTCCTTTCACCAACCCACACTCATAACTAAATTAGAATATAACAATGCTTAGCAGAAATGGATATTTTCCCCAATAATTAGCAGGGAGAAAAAATATTTTGCATAAGTGTGTGCTTTGTCTTAAGTTTTGAACTAAAGGGTGGGGGAATAGCTTGGTTCTAGTTACCATCAGGACCATTCATCAGAATTAAGATCCTAGTATTACAGAATTGGAAGCCTCCTGCAGAGGTCATCAAGCCCACCCTCCTCCCTATTAATCAAGGGGAAGCCCAACATATGCTCCAGCGTGCACTATGATTTGTAATTTGAAGTTGACAGGGTATAGAATTCTCGGAAACTATGAATAAATTACCTTACCATTTTCTGTCTTAGTATCACCATCTCTAAAATGAGGACAAGAGTAACTATTTCAAAGAGCCATAGCAAACTGATGTGAAATTCACAGAAGAAAAGTCATATTGATAAATTAATGTAAAAGATTAGTTTGTGATTAATAACCTCAGATAGAAAAGAATACATGCTTAAAAAGGACGAAACATAGGTAGCTTAGTTTTCAAAAACAAAGGAACTAAATTTGAAAAATTAAAAATAACATGCAATAGAGAATATATGGAAATAGTCTCCCTGATATTTTATAATATTTCTTGATCCATCTCTGAATTGCTTTTTGTGTCATCTTTATGCCTCTAATTTCAGAATATTCAGCAGAATAATAGGTCTCCTGTTGTAGATTCAATGTTAAAAATAGCATTAATATTGTAGAGATTTGGAGGGTGGTATTGAGAATATTGATTAGCCAATAATTAGCATGTTCCTAGAAAGGAGCGTGGTTCTGAATCGAACAGAGCATTCCTTTAAAAATGATGTACTGATACTTAATCAAGTTATGCAGCTTCCTTCCTCCCCTCAAAACAAAACAAAACAAAACAAAACAGTAGCTGAGTTATCCCTTGCTGGTCAGCATCAAAGCTGACAGAGTGACCCCAGAGCAAGAAGATCTGCTTCCGATTCTCTGGGTTCCCTGCCCAAGGGGAGGAGGAGCAGCTCTCAGGCAGACTGGAATGGGAGAGATCTTTTCAGATTTACACTCCTTCCTCAATGACAGAGTTGAAGCCATTTGGGGCTCAATATTGCAGCGTTAACTCCAGCCACTAAAGTACATCAAAACGGAAAAAAAAAAAAAAAAAAAAAAAAAAATGGCAGGAATGCCATGTCTTTGCATCACATTTTCTTTTTTTTTTTTTTTATCAATTTTATTTTATTTTATTTGTTCTTATATTTTAATTTATTTATTATTATTATACTTTAAGTTGTAGGGTACATGTGCATAATGTGCAGGTTTGTTACATATGTATACTTGTGCCATGTTGGTGTGCTGCACCCATCAACTCGTCATTTACATCAGGTATAACTCCCAATGCAATCCCTCCCCCCTCCCCCCTCCCCATGATAGGCCCCGGTGTGTGATGTTCCCCTTCCTGAGTCCAAGTGTGTCCTTTGTAGGGACATGGATGCAGCTGGAAACCATCATTCTTAGCAAACTATCACAAGAACAGAAAACCAAACACCGCATGTTCTCACTCATAGGTGGGAACTGAACAATAAGATCACTTGCATCACATTTTCAAAAGCAAGGGGGAAGAGCCCTGTAACCTCTGAGAATGCAGGTAATACGAGGTAATAGGCAAGTAAGGCAAAAATACTACTATCTTCCTTCCCTCAGCATCCAGAAAAGATGATTACTGTAATAACCATCATATTTTGCTATTCATTAAATATTGTAAAACTCTGTAAGATCTGGAAAATGTGGATATCAACTCCTTAAGTAGCTGTGCTATCTAAGTGTCACAGTAACTAACCTTCTCTAGTTTCTCATCTTGTGAAAGAGTTTACCTGCTAGAACACAGTAACTATAGGATGCCTTTCCCTGCTTCACTCAAAAAAAGTACTATTCAACACATTATATATTTTTAATTTGTCTAATCTTTTTTTTGTTTGTTTGTTTGTTTGTTTTGAGACGGAGTCTCGCTCTGTCGCCCAGGCTGGAGTGCAGTGGCCGGATCTCAGCTCACTGCAAGCTCCGCCTCCCGGGTTTACACCATTCTCCTGCCTCAGCCTCCCAAGTAGCTGGGAATACAGTCGCCCGCCACCTCGCCCGGCTAGTTTTTTTTCTTTTTTTTTTGTTTTTTGTATTTTTTAGTAGAGACAGGGTTTCACCGTGTTAGCCAGGATGCTCTCGATCTCCTGACCTCGTGATCCGCCCGTCTCGGCCTCCCAAAGTGCTGGGATTACAGGCTTGAGCCACCGCACCCGGCCCCTAGTTTTTATTTATATCTAAACTTTTCTATTTGGTCAAATAAAGAATGAGGGAGTACATGAAATAACCCTAATTCCAAGGTGACCAGAGTAGTGAACCATGAACAAACGGATTCATACACAGAAACTTTTGAATTAAAAATTCAGCATATAATCCTGGGTCACCACATGCATGTGTGTGGTCACTCACTATCACTACCCCTCACCCAGGAAGGCATCACTGATCAGTATAGAATATGCTTCATTTAGAGCTCTCCCCTTCCCTCCACACTCACCCTCACCTAAAGGCCTTGTGGTTTTTCAGTTTTTTCTCAGCATGTCACTCTGGGTAATTACTAACCATTTCCAAAATGAGGAAAAGCAAATGTGGACCCTCACGAAGCTTCTTGATCTCAAGGGCACTTGGGCCAGATGAAATCTAAGAGGTCCTTTACATCTTTCAAAAGAATCATCAGTGTTTCCTGTTCTGTAGAAATTTCCCTCTTCTAATTTCCTTTGAATAAAATGCTGTCCAACTGCATTAGTTATCTAGGGGTTGCCATAACAAAGCAGGATAGAGTGGATGCCTTAACCAACCAAAACATATTTCCTTGAAGTTCTGGAGGATGGAAGTCCAAGATTAAGATGTTGGCAGGATTGGTGTCTTCAGAGGGCTCTCTTCTGGGCTTGTACTTAGCCATCTTCTTCCTGTGTCTTCACATGCTCTTTGTCCATGTCTGTGTTCAATTTTCTGTTTCTTATATGAACACCAGCCATACTGGATTAATCTCCACCCTAAAGACCTTATTTTAACTTAATTACCCCTTATCTTATCAAAGACCTTATCTTCAAATACAGTCACATTCTGAGGTACTGAAGGTTAGGACTTCAACACATGAATTTGGGAGAACAAAACTCAGCCCATAATATGCACATTACTTAAAACTGAGTTATTCTTTAAAAATAAGCCAAATTCCACAACATTATGAGGTATTTGCCTTTATATTTCAAATAATAATATATTTACATTGATATATTTCAACTGCAATTTTTCAGTCATCTGTATCATCATGATATGGCATCTATGGTAAATTGTGTATTTAAGTACTTGTACTGTTCTTTTCCTTGTGTGATATTTAAAGACAAAGTTAAGATTTGCAATTGTCTTTCCTAGCTGATTCAAATTCCTATATGATGATGACCTCTGACCTTGAATTTCTGCCTCTAAAGTTTCTCCTTTCTTCCTGTTGTTCTAAACTTTCCATGTATCCAGTTTCAGGATAATTTACATTCTTAGAAATCAATCTTCTGTCCTTTCTCTTTTTCCATTTTGATCTTATGCCTTGATACTTATCACTGTTACTAATAATCTCTCTTCTTAAAATCATGTGTTCAGTAAGCAAAGTTTTTTGGGCACATGGAATACTATTCCCTGAGAACTCAGCCTCAGTATCTATGTGTGTTCAGGTCTTCCTACATAACATTTCAATAGAAAAATCAGATTCCTTCTGACCTCAAAAAATGCTTATCTGCAATAAAAAAAAAAAAAACTAGTTGCCGTTTAATAGTTGAAATGTTTTAAATGTATTTTGCTGCATACCTTCTGTAGCCTTTCAGCAGAATTTCATAAAAAGTTGAATTTGACGTTTTCCCCCCTAAGTTGATGAATTTCTTTAATTAGAGAAAAAAGAAAGAATGCATTTGGAAACACCCATAGAAGAACTCCCAAACTAGTGAAAAATCAAAGCTGTCATAATTGACGCAATGGAATAGACATATGCTGGGTATTTAAAATACCTAGCAATACCGGGAAGACTGAAAAATCAAAGATATAAAGCTCTCTCTTCTTCCTATTATTCAACAACATTAAACATTTCTTTAAATTCTTATTAACATGGAAGATCCAGACAAACCAATAATTTGGCAACTTGTAACAATGAATTAAATTTGTAGATAAAACCTAAAGCAAACCTTAAAATTAGACACTCTAAAAACATAGTTTAAAAGATCACACGACTGGTGTTGCAAAGCCTGTTTTGCTGTGCTGCTGCTTCTTAGAAACAATTTATTGTGTACCGAGTCAACTTAGTAGTATAAGATTTACAAATATGGAAGTATCTCAGACTGAAGTGTAGATACAGGTAGTTAATTCTAATATCTGCCCATTGAAAATTTCTTTAAAAAATGAATTCACTTAGGTTACTCTTACTCTTTGTTTTTTAGCAGAGAATCACTTATTAAAAGTTCATTCTTTCTATTTATGAAGTCGTTTTTATCCTTTCCTGACAGCAATATCCAACACACATAAATGTACTAGAACCCTTGAGTATTTCCCAGAAAACCCAAAAATGCAGTCTTTCCCTGAGTCACCTTGTACTTGTGCTGACAGATTGACTCACAGTCAGACTTGATGCTTTCTGGTTTTTTGGCCAGACTTCCATCTGCACAACGGGTTGGAGTATAAGAATATCTCTGCCTTGGCCACTGTTGTTTTCAGCACAGTTTCACTTGTTCAGTGTCCTTTACTTAACCTTGATACAAAAACAGAAGTCAAACCTAGGCATTTGCCTTTTACCAACTAAAATTTTATTAAATATGTGCATTTGTGTCTGTGTGTGGAACCGGAAGAGGCTAGGAGCAATGCCAAAAGGAAAAGTTGCAACACAAGTTTGAACAGCAAGTGTCTTTGACTTATTGCTGTGATTATACTAATTGCTCATCTACTTGGTGGGAGGTTGCAGGAAGCTGTTTTGAAGTAATCAAGCTGAGATGGGCCCTTCTATTTATAATAGTTCTGCAAATTCTTATACCCCAAAAAGATTTAATTACATTTTTCTTCTTTTAAAAATAGATTCATTCTCCCTTCTTCTCGCCATTTCCATTGCTTCAATCCAGTAAGAAATATTTGATACCTTCTTAGTTATTCTATGAATAAGCATAAATTATCCTTTATTTCATAGATTTGAACAGGAAGCCCTCAATATTCATTATTGGACTTGAAGGGCAATACAAACCTTCTACAAAATAACAATAATTATTTAGGCAATCTCTTGTAGAGGGCAAATTTTATGCACATATCATTCTCGTGGAAGTAGTTCTGTGTTACGAGAAAAACAATGATGACCTTTGCTC